ATGGGTGGGTGGATGGGTGGGTGGGTGGCTGGGTGGATAGACAGATAGATGTTGAGGTGGAATAAACAGACAGCCTCACGTATGGGCCTAGTATGTATTCAGTGTCCAGTGATGAGACAGTGGGAGTGGGAAGGGATCACTATTTCATTTCTTGTGAAGAGTCACCCACTCACTCACTCTTTTCACACTTACTAGGCACTAGCTCTGTACCAGGCATAGTAGAAACTATGGAAAACATAGCTCCTGACCCCATGAGTTCTACTGTCGTGATCAAGGGAAAAATAAGATTTCCATTGAAGGTAACCGTGGTGAACACGGTCGACAGGGGGTCCTACAGGAGAGCCCAGCCCTTAATCCCGGCTTAGGTGGGGGAAGGCTCCTCAGAGGAAGTGATTCATGAACTTGGGTCCGAAGGATGGCTGGGAGGCAAGCAGATGACTCAGTGGGGAAAGGTATTCCAGGGAGAGAGGGGAGAAGCCGAGCGGGAACTGCAGGAAATCCAGGGCCCGGAATAAAAAGCCCGGCTGGGCTGCAGCAACCTGAGAGGCACCAAGGAGAGGGGTCTGTTAGCAGCCGGTCCGGACAGGAGATTCATGAGCAGCCTTCCAGGTTAAGTTAAAAAAAAAAAAAGTCTTTATTGATTTCAGAGAGAGGAAGGGAGAGAGAGAGAGAAACATCAATGATGAGAGTCATCAATCAGCTGCCTCCTGCAGGCCTCCCACTGGGGGTCGAGCCCGAAACCCAGGCATGTGCCCCGACCGGGAATCGAACTGGCAACCTTTCCGCACCTGGGGCAACGCCCAACTGAGCCACACCAGCCAGGGCTATTATTATTTTTAATTAAAAAAAAACAAAAACAGTTCCATCCAGCTGGGTGGCACACGTTCAAGCTGTAGGTTTGGAGAATCTAATTGTGAGAGGCAGAGGCCCTAAGGGGACTTCCACAAGTCTCGGTGGAGTCACAGCCTTCGCTGTTGACATGATCCGTTGTAACAAGTTTCTGTACAACTCATGCACTGGGAAGAAAAACATAAATACACCAGCGAAGGACACATACATGCAAGACGAAACATGCCCGTGGCGGGGTGGCGAGGCGGGAAGCTCCGCGGCGGGCGCCGGGGTCCGGGAGGCCAGACTGACCGTCTGCCGGGGCAGCTGCGAACGCGGGCTCGGGGCAGCGATGTCCCACCTTCATCGGCTCCGGGCACGTGAACCAGTGACCCACATTCTCTGCGGCACACCCGAAAATATATTTTTTGCCCCCGATCTGACAAAAAAATAAATAAAATAGGTATAATTTTGTCTCATTCACACCAGACGGCTATTGTGTTGGCTGTTGTCATTTATTTATTTTTATTTTTATTTTTTTATTTTTTTGCAGTTGTCATTTTTTAAACTTGACTGAGGGGAAAAGAGGTCAGTGCCCTGACTGCACGGCCGGGTATTGTGTGTTTTAAGCATCCTCGCGGCGCGTGGGTTGAACGTGGCCGGTTTAGAAGAATAAGGCATGAGACCCGGACGGAGGCTTGGAGGTGGGCGAATCCCCGAAAATACACGTGAGGAAGGGGCCGGGTTAAGAGGGCTCACGGGGAGTTCATGACGGAGCCGGGACCAGCGCCCAGCCGCTCCAGGTTTTCTCTTTCTTCAAACTTAATGATGTTGTTGCTTCCTAATTTTGTCCATGGTTATTGTATTTTTAAATTTTTATTTGTTGATTTGAGAGAGGGAGCGAGAGAGAGAGCCATCAATGTGCCTGTCCCACTTACTTGTGCTTTCACTGGTTGCTTGTGGCGGGACGGAAGCCGGAAGCCCGGTGGATCAGGACAGCGCTCCTGGCCGGGCGCTCAGCTGGCTGGAGCGCGGCCCGGATACGCCAAGGTTGCGGGTTCAATCCCCGGTGAGGGCACGTACAAGAAACAACCCCTGAAGGCATAAACGGACGGAACGACAAACTGATGTTTCTCTCTCTGTCTAAAATCACATTTAAAAATTAAAAAAAACAACACCCAAATATTATAAAATTGTCAAATTTAAGAAACGGAGGGTCCCCTGCAAATTTGAGCTCCCAGAAATAACTCACTAGTCGGCTTTTCTGACATTTCGTTGATAAAGACCCTGAGGGTTCCTTCACGCCAACATCACTGACCAACCCACACCTGTCCAAGAAGAAAGTGTGACAGTCACAGACAGCAAGGGTGTGTAACAAATACCGATCATGTTCACTACACGTGACGTGACACCCACGCGGCGTGACCTCAATCCGGCGCAGCCTGAGGGACGAGGCAGCCTGTGTGATGCTCAGGGACACGGGCTTGGAGGCCAGGGCTGGATCCACACCCAAGCTCTGCTCGTACCAGCTGGGTGGCCCTGAATACAGGACCCGCCTCTCCGAGCTTCGCTTTCCTCCTTTGAAACCTGAGTCAGTCGAAGTCCCCACCTTCCGGGCTGCAGTCGGGGTGAGACGAGAGGCGGGCGTGGGGTCTGACCCACGGGCAGCTCCCGGTAACGTCGGTGCAGCCACCACCTCTGTCACCACCTTCGTCACCAAGGATGTCTGGTTTCTAATATTAGATCATCCTGACTAATCTACTGTCCCGAGTCGGCAGACCTCTACTATTGAACTTTCCTATTCCTAACTCAAAGCAGAAGCGGTTTAGAAACTTCTAGCCGAGCAAGATGTCCACAGGCCCCTATGTCACCGGGTAGAAATGTTCGGCGGGGTTCCACCCGATGATACCGAAAAGCAAAGAAATGATGTGTGGAACGATCGCCGGCCTCAAAGCACAGTTCAAAGTCCTCTTAGGTCCTGTCTCCTGAGTGTAATTATCCAAAAAGAAAATAAAAATAAATGAGGGCTTTTAACGTACCAGGCGCCGAGGAGGGGCGGCCGTGCGTGCGCGGGGATGGGGGACACGCGGGGACTCTCTGCACTTTCCGCTCGATTTGCCTGAGGGGCTCAAGCTGCTCTGCCGAACAAAGCTTGCTAATTTTATAAAACTCACGTACTCGGGCATCAATCAGCGGAGCACGCAAGCGGATCGAAATCGAACACAAACAAAGACCTCAACTTATTGTAACATACCCCTGGCACGTTTTCAGCTGTCTTACGAAATTTTCTGCCGCTCTCAAGTAGCTTCTTTTTTTTTTAACCTTTTGCAAAAGTAGAAATTAACTGCGGAGTTCTGGAAACGCTGCACTTTGGCTTGGAGACATAACCCCGGGCACGTCGGTCCCCGTCAGGTAGACAGTGACCGTCTCCTCGGCTTCTCCAAGAGGGACCCGACCCCTGCCGTTCCCTCAATTATTTGCACGCTAACATTTCATACGCGTTCTTAATGTTTCTGGAGAACCAGGCTGCTTAGCACGATACCTTACGGTGGCTATTTTTGTTTTGCGAAGGCTGCAAGCGAACCCCGCAGCGGTGAGGGAACCCTCCAACCCTGCGGTCGGTAGACAGGCTCCCGGGGGAGGCCCGGCCCGTCTCCACAACTCACCGGCGACAGCCGGCTTGCCCCGACGCATTCTCTACATTTAGACGATTTTGTGGGTTCCTGTCTGCTAGTGGGATTTTTTTTTATTACTTGTTGATGCAAACAGCAGGTTGCCTAAGAGCCTTGCCGGTTTTTTGGTTTTTTTTTTGAAAGCAATTTCGTAGTTTCCTGGTAACCATTCAGTCATCTATTTCAACACCCCGATGCGACATAAAGGCAGGCCCGGCCCACGCGCTCCCCACACGGACGCACACCTTCCTCCCGGAGC